TCGGCTACCACATTAGCCTTGCCCGGGTGGTACAAGATCTCACAATCATAGTCCTTGACCACATCTAACCATCTCCTCTGCCGCATATTTAGGTTAGGCTGATCCATCAAGTACTTCAAACTCTTATGGTCCGTGTAAATCGTACAACGAACCCCATACAAGTAGTGCCGCCAAATCTTGAGGGCGAACACCACTGCCCCCAACTCCAAATCATGTGTGGGGTACCTCGTCTCGTGAGGCTTCAACTGCCTCGATGCATAAGCTATCACATGACCCTTCTGCATCAATACCGCTCCCAATCCTAGGATCGATGCATCACAGAATACCACAAAACCTTCCATACCTTCCGGAAGGGCTAATACTGGAGCTTCACACAACCTTTGGCGAAGCGTCTCAAAGGAGGTCTGCTGCTCGGGACCCCATGCAAATGCCACACCCTTCGGGTCAATCTGGTGAGTGGAACCGCAATCTTGGAGAAATCCTTAATAAATCTCCGATAATACCCTGCCAACCCGAGAAAACTCCGTATCTCAGAAGGTGACCTCGGCACCTCCCACCTCATCACTGCGTCAACCTTGGCCGGATCGACCAATATCCCCTTCTGGTTAACGAGATGTCCCAGAAACTGGACCTCCCGTAACCAGAAATCGCACTTGGAGAACTTTGCGTAAAGCTTCTCCGCTCTCAAAACCCCAAGCACCTCCCTCAGATGCTCCTCGTGCTGCTCACTAGATCTCGAATATACCAGAATATCATCAATGAAAACAATCACCGACCGATCCAACATCGGCCGACATACCCTGTTCATGAGGTCCATGAACACAGCCGGGGCATTAGTGAGCCCGAAAGGCATCACCACAAACTCATAATGCCCATAACGTGTCCTGAATGCTGTCTTCTGGACGTCCTCGTCCCGCACTCTCACCTGATGATAGCCGACCTCAAATCAATCTTGGAGAACCAAGATGCTCCCTGTAGCTGATCGAATAAATCGTCGATCCTCGGCAGCGGGTAACGGTTCTTGACCGTCAGCTTATTCAATTCCCGGTAATCAATACACATGCGATGCGAGCCATCCTTCTTCTTCACAAACAAGATGGGTGCTCCCCACGGCGAGCTACTCGGCCGAATAAACCCCTTCCCCAGCAACTCCTGAAGTTGCGAGGATAACTCCTGCATCTCTGGAGGCGCAAGGCGATACGGCACCTTAGCAATAGGTGCGGCCCCGGAACCAAATCGATGCCAAACTCCACTTGCCTCGCGGGAGGCACTCCTGGTAACTCTTCGGGAAATACATCTGGAAACTCCCGCACCACCGGAACTTCCTCCACAGAGCTCGGTCTCTCGGAGATCACTCGCGTATCCATCACATACGCTACATAACCCTTACAGCCCTGCTGTAAACACTGTCTCGCCCTAGCAGCCGAACAAAAAGGCTGATCCAGAACGTGTACCCTCGCCGTACACTGAAAGAACTCCCCCACTAGGATCTCGTATAGTCACCAGCTGTCGCTCGCAATCGATAACCGCACCGAATCGGCTCAACCAATCCATGCCCACTATAACACAAACATCACCCATCGCAATCGGAATCAGGTCGATCGGAAACTCGACCCCGAATATCTCCAATACACATCCCCGGAAGACCTCTGTAGCACAAATCACCCTGTCGGCGGCTATGGAAACCCGCAGAGGCCGACTCAATACTCCACGACTAACACTGATACGCTGACTAAATGCCAAGGACACAAAAGATCGACTCGCGCCCGAGTCAAATAACACTAAAGCAGGTACAGAATTCACAAGGAAGGTACCTAAGCATAGCATGATATAAGCATAATATCTCAACACCATAAACAATAATGAAAAGGAAACATACCAGCCACAACGTCGGGCGCGGCGCGGACCTCTTCCGCAGTCAGCTGGAAGGCTCTCCCCCGAGCCCTCGGTGCCTCGGCCTTCACGGGCCAACTCTCTGCAGCAGTAGCTCTGATGGCGGCGGGAGCAAACCCCTGAGATGCTCCGCGCAGCAGCGGACACTCCGCCTTCCGGTGTCCAGTCTGGTTGCAGTGGAAGCACACTGCAAATCCCTTGGGGCAGTCCTTAGCCATGTGCCCCTCCTTGCCACATTTGTAGCAAGACCCTGCCCGACAGGCGCCATCGTGACCCTTGCCGCACTTCCCACAAGTGCGGCCCTTCTGGCTCCCGGGTCTGGGATCAGCGGGCTTGGCCCGCTTGGCTGCCGGCTGGGACTGTGCCGGTCGCCGATCCCTCCCCATAGACTCCGCCTCCTCCCTGGCCTGAGTCTCAAGCTCAATCTCCCTCTTCCGAGCATTTGCCTGAAGCTCGGCAAATGTCCGGTACGAGGAGTTCGCAGCGAACTCCCGAATATCCCGCCTCAAAATGCTCAGATAACGGCTCATACGTGCCTGCTCGGTGGACACGTGCTCAGGGCAAAACATCGCCCTCTCCTGGAACATCCTCGTAATCGCTGTAACCGACTCGGTACCCTGCTTGAGGGTCAGAAACTCCTGCGCCAGACGTTCCTCTCCACCTGAGGAACATACTCATCTCGGAACATGGAAGTGAACCTCTCCCAGGTCACTGCTGAAAGCTCAGTCGGTGTGAAATGCGCAGTCACAAACTTCCACCAGTCCTTCGCTCCCAAGCGAAGCTGGTTCAATGCGAACCGAACCTTCAAATGCTCAGGGGACGAGCAAGTGAAGAAGCATCCCTCCATATCAGATATCCACCTCATAGCCGCCACCGGATCCTGTGTACCATCAAACTCTGGTGGCTTGGTGTTGCTGAACTCCCTAAACAACATCGCATCACCTCCCTGGGGTCTCGTCGCAGCAATCGCTGCGGTAGCCGCTGCAACCGCAGCCTCAGAAAGAGCGGCATAGCGCTCATCAAACGTCTCAATCAAAGCGGTCTTGATAGACCCGAACATCTCCGATATCTCAGCTCTGATGACCGCAGCCACCTCCTCATGAATGATCTGTCGAATCTCCTCATCACTAGATCCGGCATCCTCCGGCATGTGTCGTGTCCTCACCATGATCAATCTCTGAAATACAACATGCGATAATTAGAATTCACTCGAACACTCTTACATTCAACAATCCATCCCTCCTTGATTCTTGGCACCCAGATTCTTATTTGGACTGTGTACCGCACCGGTGCTTTGAGTAGTACGGGCCCAATACTACTGTCCGCACCGTCTCGGTACACACCCCAAATCGTCCTCTTCGGATCCCAGTCCCCAAGTACTCTATTATACTTAAATCACTCTGGAACAAATCTCACACAAAGCCCTAGCTGCTACCTAATTACTCTTAGCATCTCATAGCAGCTCACCATTCCCTAAGCTAAGGCATCACAAAACAGGCCACTCTAGTCCTATCAGCAATACCTAGCCTGCTCTAGCATGCAAACACATCACAGTATTAATTATTTCATAACAAAAGATATTTTGGGAATTCACCGTTCGGGCGCTGACTGATCGTACACACGTTTCTTCCTGGAAAACCCTTTACTCTTAGAAAATTTTGGTTTTTATTTTGAAAATATCTCTTCATTTCCTCAGTTTGAGTTCAAATACCCCCGAAGGTGTACCCGAATCCCTCAAACCAAGGCTCTGATACCAATTTGTAACACTGAATTTTTCAAACAAAATTTTCGATTTTTATAAAAGCATAATTCCATCAATATTCATAGAATCAACCCCTTTTTTTTTTTAATTGTTCAACATT